CGAATGCCCTGATCAGCATACACAAATCATCTACACTTAAGAACTCACATGAATCTATATGAAAGTTGGGTCTATAGTTCTATAAACCCTTCAACTTTTTGCGCGTGTTTTTATCTAGTCTTTTCATTCGTGCTTTGCAATGATACTGATACGAAGAAGACGACCTCGCAGCGTACTACATAAGTTCTAGGTCGAAGAGGTCACAAAAAGACTCCCTTTTCTTTGATTCAAGGATAATTCCTGGATATAAGAGGAGTATTCGACATTATTCTCTACGGTGAATCTATAATAATGTAAATTTCGTAACGTAAATTTGCTTGATATAATTCGATCGAACTTATCAGAATGATCAAATTCCACACCGTTTAGCGGTAATACAACTACACATTCATTTCAGCTTCGTACGGGCATTTATAGATACAGATATAATTCCTATAAAACAACCACTTTCGTCGTAAACACAGTAACGAGTTGTAACGAAAGCCAGGAAGTGTCGTTCGGTCTTTAAGCCTCGTTCGTAGCATCGACTCTCCCTCCGCCATTAAATCCCATGACTTATGGATTTCTGTTCAGGATTGTTTTGGTCTCGGGGTCCCTTTCCACCGCGACTTCTGCCTCAAGGTCATGCGCGTGTGAGCATATTACACGCAAAGAAGATTCCCAGCATTGATATTATGCATTTTTTTCCCGTTATGTTTATATATAAAAAGTTAACAATATCGGTGCAATAGCTGGGTAATGTTTTTATACAATCGAAAAGCCATTAAGACAGTTATGAATACAAATGAATTAGATGATGAAAGAGGGGTGATTTCAGCATGAAGAGTATTGCACGATACATCATACATACACATTCAGGTGCACAACACACGTGGAAGGGTATTGGTGCAAACACTGTAATTTGGCTCGGATTAAACAGCATCTAGGAGTATTAAGATTGATATTAAGTGAGAATATATAAATACGTCTTTTAAGTCAATTTAGAAGAAAGACTGTGACCGCCTTTTCTCTTTATCTATCTCAGAAGGATAAGGTATTAACAAAGAAGGATCTCAGAAAAAAAAATTACACCGTAGTTGTTATTGCATTGTTTGCAATGTCAAGCTGAATTAGGCCGAGCTTCCTGTCATTAAGGCTGATTTTCCGTAACATCCGCTAACTGGTGATTAGTCGTCCAGGGGTGACAGGTCCTTATCAACCTCCCTACGTGATATTGATAAGGAATCGCCCTCCTGTTGATCAAAATGTGGATAAACCTTGATGTTGTACTTTTCTGTCATTTTCGATAACCTGCTATTTTCACCCTGCAAACTTGTGCAAAGATACGTGAGAATATGCATCTCTGCGTATGTATACTCGTGTATCTGTGTAAATGAACACATTTGTGAAAATATATGCAGAAACACAGATAGACATGTACTCTCTCTCCTCATTCTCTCTCTCTCACACTCACTCTTTCTCTCTTCTCTCTCTCTCTCTCTCTCTCTCTCTCTCTCTCTCTCTCTCTCTCTCTCTCTCTCTCTCTCTCTCTCTCCTCTCTCTCTCTCTCTCACACACACACACACACACACACACACACACACACACACACACACACACACACACACACACAACACACACACACACACACACACACACACACACACACACACACACACACGCATACACACACACACACACACACATCACAATCATACTAAAAATAACTTCAAATTAAATTTACTTTCTTCACACTAATAGCAAACTTAGCGGGAACTTCTCGTGACATTTATAGAATTGTGTAAGTTTCTCGCAAATAGTCGCGACAGATATTCACCCTTGAAATAAAGGACAAAACATAAAAAAGAAAGAAAAAAAGAGAAAAAAAAAAAAAAAATCTTGTGACTAAAAATGGGTTGCCAAATACTATGATTTACATTTTTTTTCCTATTTACTCATGAATTAAACTAGTTGCAAGTGAGTTTGAGGATGGTTAAGATACGTCAATTCCCTCTTTCATAACATAAAAAAAAAATAAAGTGCATGTGTGTGTGTAATACAATGTGTGTGTGTGTGTGTGTGTCGTGCATGTGTGTGTGTGTGTGTTCGTGCATGTGTGCGTCCGAGCGTGCGTGCATGTGTCTAGCAGCGTGTGTACGTGCGTGCGTGCTTGCATCCTCCCATGATTATGAACTCTTGCAGCCCTCTTATGGACATCCATGTACGCGCGTGTAAGCATGTACGCATGTCCGTGTACACATGTCTGTACACCCAAAAAAATAAACAGTGCGAATGACACGAGAAGAAGAGCTCGGGCGATTGAAATGACATTTACAGACGACGAGGAAGCGAAACGAAGGAGAAATAGATGATAAAACGCAAAGAGAATGCGGTAGTAAACTTGAGGACATTGAAAAAAAAAAAAAGAAAGAAAGAAAGAAAGAGAAAAACGAAAGAAAGGAATAGAGGGTGAGCGGAAGAGAATCGAATGCTCTTGAAATAGAATCGGATTTGCAACTGAAAAAAAAAACGGAAATGAAATAGAAAGATATAGATGATAAAAGAGATCAGATATAAAGCAGAGTGAGAGAGAAAGAGAGTGAGAGAGAGAGAGAGAGAGAGAGAGAGAGAGAGAGAGAGAGAGAGAGAGAGAGAGAGAGAGAGAGAGAGAGAGAGAGAGAGGAGGAGAGAGAGAGAGAGCGAATAAGTGAGTAAGAGAAAGAGAAAGACAGAGACAAAAAGAGAAAGAATGAGTGAAATTGAGAGAGAGAAGGAGAGAAACAAAGACTATTTATTCCCTCCCTGACCAATATTACGAAACGATAAATAATATATACCATTAAGCAACATACCTACAAGTATACCAACATCTACAAGTCATTAAATATCATACAGCATACGAGCCTAAACACATCCCATGCCTACCCACGCTCTCCACAACATCCAGGTACATAATGCACCGTTTCTCAAAAACAATTTATCTTTTTTCTCTTTACACAAAGGAAGCAGAAGCCGTGTCCATGACTATCCTTCATCCCCCAACCGTCCCTCCAGCATCATGTCAGCATCGTAGGCGATCATTTAATCATATCCTATCTCATCATCATAGGCTATCATATCCTCAGCATCAGGCTATCAATATCTCAGCATCACAGGCTCAGCATCAGATCATAGGCGACTCAGCATCATGTCAGCATCATAGGCTATCATATCCTCAGCATCAGGCATATCCTCAGCATCAGCATATCCTCAGCATCATGTCAGCATCAGCATCCTCGCGCAGCATCATGTCAGCTCATCATATCCTCAGCATCCAGCATCGTAGCGCCTCAGCATCAGCATCAAGGGCCAATCAATCATATCAGCATCCTCGTAGGCTCTCATATCCTCAGCATCATGTTCATAGGGCATCGCTATCATATCCTCAGCATCATAGGCTATTATCAGCATGTCAGGCTTCATATCCTCAGCATCAGCATCATAGGCTCTCATATCCTCAGCATCATGTCAGCATCGTAGGCGATCATATCCTCAGCATCATGTCATAGGACTCATCTCCATCATAGGCATATGTCAGCATCGTAGGCGATCATATCCTCAGCATCATGTCAGTAGGCTCTCATATCCTCAGCATCATGCATCATAGGCTCAGCATCAGCAAGGCGATCATATCCTCAGCATCATGTCAGCATCATAGGCTCTCATATCCTCAGCATCATGTCAGATCTAGGCGATCATATCCTCAGCATCATGTCAGCATCATAGGCTCAGCATCATATCAGCATCATCATATCATCAGGGTAATATCCTCAGCATCATGTCAGCATCATAGGCTCTCATATCCTCAGCATCATGTCAGCAGATGTCAGCATCATAGGCGATCATATCCTGAGCATGCGCCCGGCACCAGTGGACTCGTGCGCCCACCACGCGTGCACGGCTCAGGCACGGCGCGTCCACGTGTCTCCCTCACTCCTCGGCCACGTGCGCCTCGAGCTGCCCCGGGGGAGAGTCTGTTGAAACGCTGAAGAAGGATTTGTCACGAAAAGCTGTTGTCTATGTTTTTTTTTTTTTTTTTTTTTAATGCTACGGAGGTGTGTCGTCATGACGAGTGGTGACGTCACGGGTAGGAGAATTTGTTCCGTGGGGAGTGCATGTGTGGAGCTTTTTTTTTTTTTTTTTTTTTTTTTTTTTTTTTTTTTTTTTTCTCGTGTCGTCAGTAGTCAAGGCGAGTTTATCCCTTCCTCTCTTACTCCCATTTCTTTCCTTCTCGTTATCCGTTTGCTTAAATAGCCCCTTCCCGCCCCCTTTTTTTCTTTCATTCTTCTTCATAATCATTACGATAATCCTAATAACCATCATCATCATCACCACCATTTTATAATCTTTTTTTCTTTTTTCTCTTTTGTTCTTTCTTTCTTCTTAATATTATTACGATAATCCTAATAACAATCATCATCATCATATTTTTCATCATTTCTTTTTTTCTTCCTTCTCAATATCATTACGATAACCCTAATAAACATCATCATCATCACCACAATCATCATCATCACCATCATCCTCATCATTATCATCATCACAATCATCATCATATCCTTTTTTTAATCCCCCTTTATCTCCGTTGGATCAAACCTCACCAAGGACACCGCGAGAGACACACGATAGTTACTTAGTCCAACGATGGCTCCGAACCCACCCATTAACAGGCTCGTCTCAGCTGTTACCGTTCACGAGCCAATCACAACGACGGACGCGGGGGTGAGCTGATACTGGCCAGCCAATCACGTTCGAGTTTCGTTGTGGAAGGAATATCGAAGCTAGATGCAGATTGGGGAAGGTTTTTTTGGGGGTGTATGGGTGTTTGGTTGTGTATGGGTGTGTGTGTCTGGTTTGTTGGTCAGGAATTGAAGTTGGAAGTTGGTCGTACTCTCTCTCTGTCTCTGTCTCTCTCTGTGCCTCTGTCTCTCTGTCTCTCTCTCTGTCTCTCTCTCTCTCTCTCTCTCTCTCTCTCTCTCTCTCTCTCTCTCTCTCTCTCTCTCTCTCTCTCTCTCTCCTCTCTCTCTCTCTCTCTCTCTCTCTCTCTCTCTCTCTCTCTCTCTCTCTCTCTCTCTCTCTCTCTCTCTCTCCCTCTGTCCTTTCTTTTCTTACATTTTTCTTCCTCTTCCTCTCTCTCTCTTTACTATAATTTTCACTTCTAAATTATCTTTTTTTTATGTATTCGATAAGGATCAACTTTCCTCGCTTTCTGACCTTTCAAGCCAATGTCGATTCCTGTGTCACGTTTTAGATCAGTTACCCCTCTTGACACATCCATTTTTTATTTCTTTATTTTTTTTCTTCGGACAAATTACAAAACTTGGGAGTTAATTGAAGTTCTCACGTGTTTTTGCTTTATATAATTCTTATCCTTCTTTGTAATTCAGATCTAGTTTTGTTCTTTTACACGCATGATCTCTTTTACAAGACCTCAGTTCTAGGATTTGAAGAGAAACTTTAATATTCATGCACTAAGATTTTCGACTTTATGTGGTCATGCAACTGTACTTCCGTGAATCATTTCGTGCACGCATTGTCATGAGGATAGGTAATATACTGATCAGTTTTTGTTTGTTTGTGCTTGTTATCTGTTTCGGATGTCATGTGGAGGGCATAATAATATGATAATTATCGTATTGTGTAGAACGAAATAATGACTCAATCAAGCAAAAATACACACACACACATACATACACTCACACACACAAACATACAAACAAACACACGCAGTCAAACGCACAACTCATTAGACTATTAAACAAACGCAGTACAGACACACACACACACACACACACACACACACACACACACGCACACACACAAACACACAACACACACACACACACACACACACACACACACACACACACACACACACACACACACACACACACACACACGCACGCACACACACAACCGCACCACACACCACACACACACACACGCACGCACGCACATTTCCTCGCAGTCACATGCAGGATCCAACACACGCGACGCCAGAGTGAGTCCGAGACAGGATAGACTTGTAATCAGAAGTTAATCTCATTGACAAGTAGCGAATGCCCTTGCAACCTACCCCCCCTCCCCCTCCCCTCCCCCCTCCAATTAGTCCCCGTCGCTCTCTCTCCCTCTCCTTCCTCCCTCCCCTTCCTCCACCTCTCTCTCCTCCCTCTCCTCGTCACTCGCCTTCCCCTCCACCTCGGTCTCTTCTCTCCCTCCTTCTCCTCCTCCCTCCCCTTCCCTCCACCTTGGTCTCTTCTCCTCCCTCTGGTCCCTCTTCCCTCCACCTCTCCTTCTCTCCTCCCTCTCCTCCTCCTCCCCTTCCCTCCACCTCGGTCTCTTCTCTCCCTCCCTCTCCTCTTCCTTCCACCTTGGTCTTTCTCTCCCTCCCCTCCCCTCCCTCCCTCCCTCCCCCTCCAATTAGTCCGCCTCCCTCCCTCTTCTCCTCCCTCCCCTTCCCTCCACCTCGGTCCTTCTCTCCCTCCCTCTCCCCTCCCCTCCCCTCCCCTCCCCTCTCAATTAGTCCCCGTCGCTTTCTCTCCTCTCCTCCTCCCTCCCCTTCCCTCCACCTCGGTCTCTTTCTTCCCTCCTTCTCCTCTTCCTTCACCTTTGGTTCTTCTTCTCTCCCTCCCTCCCTCCCCTCCACCCCCTCCAATTAATCCCTCTTCTTCCCTCTCTCTCTCCTCCTCCTTCCTCACTCGGTTCTTCTCTCCTCTCTCCACTCCCTCCCTCCTCTCCCCTCCCCCCTCCCTCCCCATTAGCCGCTCCGTTCTCCCTCTTCTCTCTCCCTCCCCCTCCCTCCACCTCGGTCTCTTCTCTCCCCCCCCTCCCCACCTCCAATTAGTCCCCCGTCGCTCTCCCTCCCTCCTTTCCCTCCACCTCGGTCTCTTCTCTCCCTCCCTTCCTCCTCCCTCCATTGGTCTCTTCCTCTCCCTCCCCATCCCATCCCCTCCTTCCAATAGTTCGCCTCGTTCTCTCCCTCCCTCTCCTCCTCCCTCCCCTTCCCTCTCCAACCTCGTCTCTTCTCTCCTCTCCCTCCCCTCCTCCTTAACCCCTTCCTTGGTCAAGTCTCTCCCTTCTCTCCTCCCTCCCCCTTGTCTGGTCACTCCTCCCCTCTCCCCCTCCCTCTCCCTGATCTGGCCTTCCCTACTCCCCCCTCCTCCTTAGTCAAGCCCCTCTCTCCCTCTCCCTGGTCAGGGCCCTCCCTCCCTACCCCTCCACCCCCTCTCCCTACCTCCCACCCTTCACTTCACTTCCCTTCACCCACCTGTCTTCCTACCCCCCCCCTTCTATCCCAATACCCAATACCCTATCCCCCCACCCCCATATGACCTATCCCTCCCTCCCCCCCCCCCCCCCCACCATATGACCTCTCCCTCCCTCCCACCCCCGCCCACGCCCATTCCTCTCAAAGTGCATTCCAGGCGCCCACTTAAAAGGGGGTAAGTATGATTGACTGTCGGCCACTTAAGTTATGTACTC